GGCCAGATGCTTGCTTTCAAATCTGCGACCAGTGGGATTTCTGGTTCGTGTCTGATAACCCGTGATGATTCTTGTTCATTTGTGTAGACTATCTTCATATCGGTGCTGGAAATACGTTTTCGGGAGCATTGTTTTTCACTTCCCAATAAGTAGTGAATGTATTTATTTCCCAAGACCCTTTACTCCCAAGCTCTACACCACATTCGTGAATCGCGTGGATTTTGCAGAATACTTCGACGAGCTTTGTCGAATACATAGACCACCTGTGCAGCCACCGCCCCAACCCAGCTGCTTCCAGTCCCGGAAACAACAGCCCCCCGCCACCTGCCCCAGGACACCATGTCCCCCCTCAGCGTTCCGCAGGCTCAAGTTCATTTGCTGTGGAAATAAAGAAGAGGGGTGGCCAGCAGGCTGAGTTTGCTGACTTTCGCCCTCCTTCAGGAAAGAATTCTGCTGGGAAGGAGCTAAGTGTACGCACAGTCGTTGCAGGAGTTGAAACCTCACGCTCTGTCAGTGTCAGCTTCCTGGTGATTTGGAGCTGTGTTTTCGCGCACAGTGGAGATAATCCAGGGGCTGCTTCGGTTTTGTCCATGAACTCTCAAAAAAAAAAAAACAAACCCCAAAAAACCCAAAACCAAACAACAACAACAACAAACCAACAAAAAACAAAAATGCAAAAACAGAAAATGATACATTCAAAAATGTGACTTTTTTTCTTAAGTGAGGAAGCCCACTTGGGAACCTTAATTTCTATTTAAAAATATAGTAAGTTGTACCAATGCAGTCCCTGCCAAGGTCATCCTTTTCTGTCATGTTTTGTTGCTTAATAAATTTATTTCATTAAACCCTCTTCAATATTTTAGGCTGCATGGAGGAATTTTGCTTTAGATTAAATTTGAAGTACTTCCATTGCCCAATGAAGTCTCCAAGTCAGGAATTCTTGGAATTCCCATGCTCGAGTTGCCAATACGCCATTGCCCCTCCTTCTCCTCCTCTTCCGTCCTTCCTTTCCTTCCTCCGTCGGACTCTTGGGCCCTACAGCCCTTAGGTGGGTGAGCAAGGGCTGCATCCCTGGGGGTAGGGAGGCCACGTGGGCCTGAGTGGGCTCTTCCCTCGGGTCTGCGTCCAGCTGGGGCGACAGAGGAGCAGGTGAGCAGGAGGCTCAGCAGAGGGCTGACCCTCAGGATGTGGGGCTGGGGGGTAAAGAGGGCAGCAGGAGAGGGGGCACCCAGCCCCCAGCAGGGAAGAGGTGTCTGTGCAGGGGCAGGGCCCACTGAGAGGTGCTACATCCAGCAGGGCCAGGAGGGGGTCCCCCGGGGAGGAAGTGCCTGGTGCCTGGTCGGTGTCAGGATGGCAGACCAGGGCCGCTCTCTCGCACTCACCGGAGTGGGCTACAGGTACGGAAAAGGGGCAAAGACCATGAACGTGTGACCTTGGGTTGGAATTAGAGGGGTACTTTTGAGCTAATAATTTCATGACTGGGCATTTATTTGGGGGTGGGGACAATGTTTCCTTTTTAGTAAAGTGTTTATTGTGTTAAATTATAAGTAACATAATACTTACCTCGTAACCATTTTTGAACTTACTCAAGTTTATTCTGTGCGTTTTTAAGTCCTTCCCTGTTGTCCCACACCGCCACACCGTCTATCTCCAGACGTTTGCACCTTCCCCGACCCACATCCAGTCTCCGCACCGGCAGGTACCGGACGCGCTGAACATCACTCCCCACTCCCCACTCCCTACTCCCCACTCCCAGCCCCGCCCTCCGCCCCGCCCTGCCCCTGGCCACCACCATTCTACTTTCTGTCCCCGTGAACGTGACTACGCCAGGGACCTTGGATGGATGGAATCCTACAGTATGTGCCCTTCTGTGACTGATGAGCATAAATACATAAAAAGAGTAGTAAATACAGATGGATAAAACGTGTGTGGATGTTGAGGCTGGCAAAATACGCCAGCCCAAAATAAGCCCTTTGACATAAGGACTATTCGAGCTAAAGGGACTTGCAAAACAGCAGGTACCAGAAGGGCATTCCTGTCTCCCCTTTTCTTCTTGAAATCGGGAATTGAAAACTCCCTTGTGAAAAACGCCCGTCCAGAAGGAAAGTGCTAGAAGGAAGGTCACAGGCTTTTCATCACAGTGAGACTCTAGAGGACTGTGTACAAATGGACCGTGTGAAAATAATTCTTATCTTCCCTCAGCCTCCCTGCACATCAATTTAGTTACTTTTCCACAATTGCCCCTAGTGTTGAACTTGATAGAAAGGCCTGTGGGAAAGACGTGAATACTTCAAATTTAATCTAAAGCAAAATTCCTCCATGCAGCCTAAAATATTGAAGAGGGTTTAATGAAATAAATTTATTAAGCAACAAAACATGACAGAAAAGGATGACCTTGGCAGGGACTGCATTGGTACAACTTACTATATTTTTAAATAGAAATTAAGGTTCCCAAGTGGGCTTCCTCACTTAAGAAAAAAAGTCACATTTTTGAATGTATCATTTTCTGTTTTTGCATTTTTGTTTTTTGTTGGTTTGTTGTTGTTGTTGTTTGGTTTTGGGTTTTTTGGGGGTTTGTTTTTTTTTTTTTGAGAGTTCATGGACAAAACCGAAGCAGCCCCTGGATTATCTCCACTGTGCGCGAAAACACAGCTCCAAATCACCAGGAAGCTGACACTGACAGAGCGTGAGGTTTCAACTCCTGCAACGACTGTGCGTACACTTAGCTCCTTCCCAGCAGAATTCTTTCCTGAAGGAGGGCGAAAGTCAGCAAACTCAGCCTGCTGGCCACCCCTCTTCTTTATTTCCACAGCAAATGAACTTGAGCCTGCGGAACGCTGAGGGGGGACATGGTGTCCTGGGGCAGGTGGCGGGGGGCTGTTGTTTCCGGGACTGGAAGCAGCTGGGTTGGGGCGGTGGCTGCACAGGTGGTCTATGTATTCGACAAAGCTCGTCGAAGTATTCTGCAAAATCCACGCGATTCACGAATGTGGTGTAGAGCTTGGGAGTAAAGGGTCTTGGGAAATAAATACATTCACTACTTATTGGGAAGTGAAAAACAATGCTCCCGAAAACGTATTTCCAGCACCGATATGAAGATAGTCTACACAAATGAACAAGAATCATCACGGGTTATCAGACACGAACCAGAAATCCCACTGGTCGCAGATTTGAAAGCAAGCATCTGGCCCCACACCAAAGTCAAGTTTGGACTTGCAGGTTGACAGCCTGTGAAGAAATATCCAGCCACGGTGAGGCAATCTGGGAGATGTGTCATTAGGATACAGTAGCAGTACAGATGGAACAAGAAATGGTCGCCCTCATTGGTCGGAGCCGTGGAGCCCATCATTCTGGGGATGTCTCCACCCCAAGCTGTTGGGGCTACAACCTCGAACCCCGCCATCCTTTCCGTTTAAATTGTGATGACATGCCCTTGGCCCACAGCCCCGGACTCCAGCCCGGGCCTGGCCCCCTCCTGGCTGGGGGGCCTTGGCTGAGAGGAGACCCCTCTCTAGGCCTGAGTTTCCTTCTCTGCAAAATGGGGAGTTTGGGGAGCTTTGCAGCCCTCACCTAAATGCAGCTGCCCATCCTCCCTCACCAAGGCCCTTGCTGCCCCACCTGCACCAGCACCTGGGGAGGGTCTGGGAGGCCTGGGGGGAGTGTGGGAGGGCGGTGCTGGTGCGGGAGGTGCTGGATCTACTTGTCTCCACCCAAAGTTTCCATTCCGGAGCCTTCCCTGCCCCAGGCCTCTTCCTTCTGTGGGGTGAGGCAGGATGGGGCGACAGCGAAGGGGTGAAAAAGGAGAGGAGGGCTGCTAGGCTATAGCAGGGGTTTCTGCCTAGTTGCCCCACCCCTCCTCTCCCTCAACTTCCAGAGCCGTCTTTCAGCATTCTCCCCGCTCCCTGCCCCACTCTTCCTGTCCTGGATTTCTCTAGCATCTTGGGCTATGGGGGCTGGAAATGGGCCTGGATGGGGGGGGGCGTCTCACAGTGTTCTCTCCCTTGGTCTGGGGGTGCGTAGGTCCTAGGACCACCCCCTCCCCCCCACACACACTCCACCCCTTGTCCTGAAATTAGTTGGGAGAGTGGTAGTAGTTCTGGGATGTGGAACAAGCGAGAGAAACAGGGCAGGAGCTCACGGAAGGCCAGGTCAGAGACAGGGAGAGATGGAGGGACACCGAGGCCTAGGGCATTCACAGACACAGAATAAACAAGACAGGGGCTTCCGGGGAGGAAGAAAGCCACAGACACAGTCACCATGGTATTGCACAGCTGTGCGCATTGGGCGAATTGCTTCCCCTTTCTGAGCCTCAGTCTCCTTGACTGCAAAACGGGGAGTTTGGGGGGGTCCATGCCCGTCCCTCATCGGTCTCTTGCAAGCGCGGGCCAGGCCCAGAGGCTTAGCAAATGACAGTGGTTGTTATTTCTTTTCCTTTTTTTGCCCCTATTTACTGAGCACTTACTGTGTGCCAGGCACTGCCCTGGGCACCAGGGCACCACGGCATTGAAAGTCAGGCAAAAATCCTGCCCCTTGGAGCTTCTGTCACGTTCCAGAAGCATAAACTGGAGTTTCAGGGGAGAAAAAAACCCTTAGTCCCACGCAGCAGGTCCTAACCTGGGAGGGAGGGGTCGGAGTTCCAACCCCCGGCTTAGCCTCTCAGGACTCAAGTTTCCAAAGACAAAATGGGTCTTTCTCTGTGCCAGGCAGCAGGAAGATAGGGCTGGACAGATGGTGGCTCAATGAGTCTTCTTTGCTCCTGTTGTTGTTATCATTATTATTTTTAACTATTTCTGTCATTATTAGCTCAAAGGAGAGGGGCAGTTCACCTGGGAACCTTCAGTGAGTGGAGGAGGGTGGGAGGGTGCTGGGCCACCCAAGCCCCAGGGCCAGGGTCTGTGCCAGGTGTGGGCGGTGGGTGTGGAAAGAGAGGGGGGTGAGTCATCAGGCCCTGCCACGCCCTGCTTTTACTTAAGGTTCCAGCAGCCATACCCACCACCACCACCGTTGCCTGTCCCACCGTCCCAGCCATGGCCGGGAGCTCTGTGAGTACTCTAGGGCCTGAGGGTCGGAGGGTCTTGGACCTAAGGCTGCACCAGACTAGGGGCCTGGCTGGGGTCTGGCTGAGGTCTCCTGTTTCAAAGAAGAAAGTGGGTGGTCGGCTGGCTGTGCTGTGCCGTGCTGGGGCTCTGCCTTCCGGGTGGACCCACCCACCTCATTGCTCCCATGTCCTCTTGGTGCCTCCTCTTGGTTTCCCTCTCTGAATATTTTTCTCTTAATTCCTTGCGCTTCACTTAGCAACTCTTTCCCTGGGTCTCACTCTCCTTGCTTCTTTCTCTCTTGACTGTGCTGGTCTGGGTCCTGGCCGCGTTGTCCCTGGGGTGAAACATCGGCCCCTCTCCTCGGTCTCCCCGGGTCACTTGCCCCCTCCTACCCGGGCTCTTGCAGAATGTGCCCCACAGGACCTCGCTGCCGGAGGGTGTCAGAGTGGGCACCGTGATGAGAATTCGTGGTGTTGTCCCCGACAACGCTAGCAGGTGAGACTCCAGTGTGACCCCAGGTTCCAGAGGTAAGGGGTGGGAGGTCTCAGCCCAGCTCACCCGGACTCCTTACGGCCCAGAGGTGAGGGCCCACGGCCACCTTTGCCCGCCAGGGTTTGGAATCCCCAGGCCATTACCAACCTTTTGGAATCTGATGTGTCCTTTTTATAAATGTGCCCCCTGATCGTGGAGCTCGGGTCACTAAGAATCTGGGGGCTCCAAAGCCATTTCGGGGTTCCTACCTATAGTTCTCTGGCTTTCCAACTGAGTCGCCAGGGACTCTGGAACATGTCCTGTGACCTGGAGGTGCCCTGGCCGTCTGGGTGGCCTATACAATAAATTGTATGATTTCCTGTGTCTGGAAACTTCAGGCTTCCTGGGAAGTTCGGTTCCCGTAAATATTGGGGCCCCTGGTATTGTTCTCAGCCATTTGAGAATTGGGGGCGTTCCCTGGGATTCTGGAGCGCCCTGGTCATCAGCACCACGACTCCTTGGCAGCTCCCAGACCCTGGGAATGAGGGGGACCCGGGCCAGAGCATGGTGATCCTTGCTTGGCGGATGTGTGCCCAATACGTGTTTGTCCCGCCTGGAATCTGGGTTCCTTGTCCCCCAGTCCACACCCGCTGTGGTGTGTGACATACTCTGGTCCCTGTCAATTTGGGTGTGCTCAGTGTTAAGTCTTAAAGATTCATTGGCCCTTGGTGCTCTGGGTGGTTCATGGCTCCTGACGTTTATTCCCTGCCACCCCTCACCCCCACCCTCCATTCACCAGGTTTCATGTAAACCTGCTGTGCGACCAGGAGGGTGCTGAGGCTGCCCTGCATTTCAACCCCCCGGTTGGACGAGTCCGTGGTGGTCTTCAACACCAAGGAGCGCGGCGCCTGGGGCCAGGAGGAGCGCGGCCACGGCCTTCCCTTTCAGCGTGGGCAGCCCTTCGAAGTGCTCCTCATCGCTACTGAGGAAGGCTTCAAGGTGCGACACTGCCACGGGGGTGGGCGCCAAGACCCAGGTCCCTCTCCTGGGGTTGGGGAAGGCTGGCAAGGCCCTGGGTGGAGTTGTGGAGCAAAGGCACAGCGAGGCTGGGCAGCTGGGCAGCTGGGCAGCTGGGCAGCTGGGCGGGGCGTCCTCATCGCTCTCCCTCTCCTGGAGCGACCTCAGTAGTGTCAGAGGGGCAGGTATGTTGCAGGGGCAAGGACAAAGCCAGTAAGAGGGAAGTGTCCGGAGGGAGGGAGGGTGTCCTAGCGGCGAGGCGTGGCCCCCACTTCCACCCCAGACCCCGCTCCCCGTTCATCTGCGCCTGAGGTTGGGCCTGTGCCCCGGGGGCAAGGATGGGCTGGGAGACAGGGCCCAGAAACAAGCCCAGGAAGGAGCGGCCGCCGCGGTCCCTGCACCGCCCAGCCGTTCACCGCGCTGGGGCCGCGGGCGCCGGGTTCGGGCCAGTAACACCCGGCCCGCCGCCAACACTTAGTAAGCACTGGGGGGGCCAACGGTCCTCGGGACGGGGGCTTCGAGGGCAGCCTCGCGCGTGTCCCCACTGGGGACTTGGGGCCCGGCGCGGGGCGCGGCTGCCCGGGGCGCCGGGCGCCGGCCGGCGGCGGCCTGGGCAGCCGGGACTGACGCGCGCGCCCGGCCCGCAGGCGGTGGTCGGGGACGCGGAGTACCACCACTTCCGCTACCGCCTCCCGCCGGGGCGCGTGCGCGTCGCCGAGGTGGGCGGGGACCTGCAGCTGCAGTCGCTGAAGATCTTCTGAGCCCGGCGGGGAGCGGAGCCCGGGACCGGCAGGCGAATAAAGGCTTGGCCCCTCCTCGAGCGCCTCCCCTGTGTCTGTGTCTCCTTCGCGCGGGCGAGGAAAGCAGTTGGGAGGGGGAGGTCGCCGACTAGGGCCCCGCAGCGGTTCCGCGGCCGAGGCGGGATCCGGGCCCGGACCTGCCAGGCCCGTCCGGTCTGGACGCCGAAGGAGCGGCGCGAGGTGCGGGGACGCGCCTCTGGCCGGTGCTCCCGAAGCACTTGGTGAAGCCGCACGCCGGGTCTCTCGGACACCCCGCCTCGCCGGCGTGGGGCGAGAAATCTCTCAGGGCCCCGCGCCGCCCTCCGGTCCCCGCCTCTCCGCGCTCCCCGGGCCCCTGGGTGCCGGGGGGGCGCTCGGGCGGGTCGCGGCGGGGAGCGGATCGGGGCGTCGCCGTCCTCCCCTGTGTCCCTGCGTCGGGACAGACCTCCGCCCGCGCGCGCCCCGGGGCGGACGCGGACTGAAGCGGCAGGTCCCCCGCGGGGCGGGGCGGGCCGGGGCGGGCCGGGCTGCCGCGTCCCCGCTGCGGTGGCGGGCCCCGCGCCCACACTCTTCCCCCTCGGCTCCGCCGAGTGTTTCGGAAGGGGGAGGGGAGGGTGCGATCAAGACAGACAGACGCCCAGCTCACCCCCGACCGCCGGGGGCGATCGTCTGGGGGCCGGGGGCGGGCGGGGGCGGCGGGGGGCGTGGTCTCTGGGTCCCCGCCGAAAGGCCTCTGCGGTGGGGGCACCCCGGCCCCCGCACGCGCCCGGAGTCCCACCCGGTGCGTGCGTGTCTGGGCTGTGGATGGAGCCGCCCCGGTGGCAGCGTGCCCGTCCCAAACTGTGGGTCCCGGGAACGCCCGGACCCGGCTCTGGTGGGGTGCTTTTCGCGCTTCGGCCCTTGAGAAACGGGTAGCTTGTCATCCCCTGGTGGCCGCTACGGACGTTGCAATCTTAGCGATCTGTGCAGGAGTCCTGTTGTACCCGATTTTGCCCGCGGAGGAGGGCAGAATCCTGTGGGACGCCCCAAAGGCAGGGAGCGGATGGAGCTCTTTCAGGACCTGAACTTTTTTGCACTTTGCAAACCTCCACCTGTATCGCCCCTCCCTTCTGAAAGTATTTCTGGGTGGGCAGTCGGAATGAGGGCTCCCCCTTGCTCAGCTGCACACCTGAGAAAGTCTGCCGTTCACTGGTAGTCAGAGCTCATTGTTAAATGAATTAATTTTTATTTTATTTGTGTGATATAGTTTATGAACATTAAAAAAATTTGTAAAGGCCCTGGCTGGTGGGACTCAGGGGACTGAGCGCCGGCCTGCGGATCAGGGGGTCGCCGGTTCGGTTCCCGTTCCGGGCGCATGACTGGGTTGCGGGCTGGGTCCCCGGTGGGGGGCGCTCCAGAGGCGGCCACACGTTGTTTCTCTCCCTCTCTCCCTCCCTTCCCCTCTCTAAAGATAAATAAAATCTTAAAAAAAAAAAAATTGTACAGGTAACATAACCACACTTACGGATTTCCAAAACAAAAAAATTCAGTGAAAAACAAGACTTTGGCATATCTGGCAAAGGTGGTTGGGTTCTGCGGACTAAACAGTGATTAGGTAGTGACCCATGCTTGAAGTTCTCGACTTTCACGTTTGTTTTACCATGTGGACAGTGCAGAATGTTCTTTTCTTCCTTTCTGTGTCTTTTTTTTTTTTTAATTTTTTTGAGTTCACTATTTTGAGTAGTTTTTATTAGCAACTAAAATAGAAGATATCTGTCAATAACACGGGCAGTTATTGACTATAATTGGGGATTGATTATATTCTCATACAGATCATGGATAAAGGCAATTTTTTTTTTTAATTAAAAAGCTTCCACCTCTTGTTTGCGTACCATTTGCAAAAACTATTCTGAAAGCGGAAAATATGTGCACAAGTCTGCAACGAGTGCAAATTGAGGATACCGCCAATGCTTTACAAGTTACACTTTACTTAGGTATCTTTAGAGAGGGTAAGGGAGGGAGAGAAACATCAACGTGTGGTTGCATCTCACGCGGCCCCCCGCTGGGGACCTGGTCTGCAACGCAGTCATGTGCACCACACTGGGAATCGAACCGGCAACCTTTTGGTTCACAGGCCGGAGCTCTATGCACTGAGCCACACCAGCCAGGGCTACAAGTTGCTTTTTAAAAACTGCCACAACGGGACCGTTACATTGTCCTCTTGTCAAAATATTTCGTGTCAGCCCTCCTTCCGCTGCCCCAAACTATAAAGCATTTTTTTAATGAGTTGAAATTAAGGAAGGACTACACCTGTTAGAAAAGAAGAGAAACTTCCTATTGGTTTTAGGTTTCAGAATCCCCGCAAACCATGACCGGTGTCTTGGTAAGGGCTAGGCTGGCACCCCAAACAGGAGTAGGAGCATGCAGGTGGCATCCCTGAGGAGTCAGAGCTTCTGTGGACCGTGGGTGCTCCGGCAGGACGACTCGCTGAACTGTCTTGCCAGTTTCTGCACTGGCCTGACGGGGCTTAATTCGGGGGCGGAGAACAGCTCATATTCATCCCATTCTTCTGGAGCTCTGTAATAGCATTTAATAATATCCCAATGGGATGTCTTCCACATATAGTATTATGGTATTTCTTCAAGTAATTGCTTAAAGATACAGGGTCTAATTGTTCTATAACCCTCATACCCATTTTACCTAGACGTTCAGTGGATCTATAAATCTCTTCCTAGGATTCATCATAGTAACTGTAACGGAACCTTTGGCTCCAGTGGCAGAAGTCAGAAGAAACCACAAAGAGATCACTATGATCTGCTAGATATTTACCGAAAAGTTTTCCAAATTCCTATCCCTTTAACTCACCCAGAGCTACAGCTAGTACGGAGATAATGGTAAATTCATCCTTACGGCTTTCCATGGCTTTAGCTGTGTAAGGCAAACGCATTTCAATACTGTGTTCACCTTCATCTGTCTGCAGAGACATGTGTTCAAACATTCCTGCCTTCCATAGTTCCCTGTAAATCTTCTGGTCAATACAAAGGTCATATAGAGGTGTCCTATATACTTATATATATATATTCATGGAAAGTGCACATGGAGGGAGGGCGTAAGATTGGAAGGCCCAGGGATTCAAATCCTCTGAGTAGCAGATGGGTCCACCTGTTCGTAGCATGAGCAGCACAAGGTCCCCGGTAGTATGTATCCTGCTTGGATACATACAGTACTATCTATATAATGGCTCTAGCAGGTCTTTTTGCAGGCTGTGCTTGTGAAAGCCAGCCCTCTAGTGGCACGTTCAGCTGCGATCCAGAGGCTGTGGTGCCGGCTCCCAGTGTGACTGGCCTCCCCGCCGACCTCTCAGTTAGGCACCTTGGTGCCTGTGCCACCTCTGGTGCATGAGAATGAATGAGCAGTTAGTGGCCCGGAATATTCTCTCTCTCTCTCTGTGTCTCTCTGTCTCTCTTTTTTTGTACAAACTACAGAGTAAAGTAGTTGAAGGTGAAGAGGCAGCCTGTTGGCAACTTACTTGTAAATGGCTCAGGAAAAAAACTGAACTTTGCACTGTACTTAAAAGTTTTTGTTTGACACTTCAAAAAATATAGAATATACGATAGACTCCCCTAAGGATCCCCTCCAAAATTGTTAAAACAATAAAAATTGTTAAATGGATTTTCTAAATTCAGTATACATAGCCAACACACACTATCAATTGCATTTCCCTACATTAACAACGAACAATCTGAAAATGAAATTAAGGAAACAACGTCACCAAAAGTAATAAACTACTTAGGAATTAACCAAGGAGGTGAAGGACATGTACAATGAAAACTACAAACCATTGCTGAAAGACATTAAAGACACAAATAAATGGACAGACATCCCATGGTCATGACGATATATCTAAGATGTCAATAGTACCCAAAATAGTTTACAGAATTCAGTGCAATCCCAATGAAAATCTCAATGAGTTTTTGCTGAAATAGAAAAACCCATCTCAAAATTCATAGGGGTTCTCAAGGGAACCTGAATAGAGAAAATCTTGAGAAAAAAGGACATGGGTAGAGGACTCAGACTTCTTTATAGCAAAAGTACAGTAATCAAAGCAGTGGGTACCGGCATAAAGACAGCTACGTAGACCAGTGGAATGGAGCAGGAGAGCCTTGAATAGCCCTCAAATGCATGGCCAAGTGATTTTTGACAAGGGTTTCAAGACTGTTCTTGGAAAAAGACAGACCTTTTAACAAATAGTACTAGGAAGGCTGGATACCCATCCACATGAAAAAGAATGCAGTTGGCCTTTTTGTAGTTAACACACCATCTACAAAAAATAATCAAAAATAGATTGAAGACCTAAATATAAAAGGTAAACTATAAAGTTATTGGACAAAAACATAGGACAAAATCTTCATGACTTTGGATTTGACAGTGATTTCTTGGGTATTACACCAAGACACAGGTAGCAAAAGAAAACATAGATAAATCGAAGTTCATGAAAATTTAAAAGGTGTTTTTGTTCATCGAAAGATACTACCAACAGAGTAAAAAGGCAACCCACAAAATTGGAGAAAATATCTTCATGTTACATATCTGATAAGGGGTTAATATCCAGAATAAGTAGTGAACTCTTAAAACTCAACAATAACAACAATATTCACAAATGCACAAAGGACTTGAATAGACGTTTCTCCAAAAAAAAGATACACCAATGGCCAACAAGCACATTAAAAGATGCTCGATATCACGAATCCTTACCCTGGCCAGGTGGCTCAGCTGGTTGGAGTCTCGTCCCATACACCAAAAGGTTTTGTGTTTGATTCTCAAATAGGGCACATACCTAGGTTGTGGGTTTGGGTTTGATCCCCGGGCAGGGAGCATACGAGAGGCAACCAATCAAGACTTCCGAGGTTTCTGTCTCTCACATCAATGTTTCTCTCCCTCTCCACCCCCGCCCTCTCTCTCAAAAATAAAATAAAAGCAATAAGTATGCCCCAGCTGATGTG